ACATACATACATACATACATATGGTTTTATGGCATCCGCCGAGAGTTTGCCGCCTTGCGGCTTCGTCAATCTTTAACCCCCTCAAGACCCAGCCGGAGGATGGATTTTTTTGAGGTTGGGCTTAGAGAGTTTAGAGCCTTCGGGATTAGGATTCAGACGTTAAGGGTTTCGAGGCTTATGTAGAGGTTCGATGTTCAGTGTTGAGGCTTTAGGGAGGAGGCCCTAAACCCACAACGCCACACATCTAAGCTCCTTTGACTGCAAGCTTTTGCACGTAGAATAAACACACAAGCTTGACCCTAAACCCTAAACCCAAAGCCGAATAGGAAATCAAACACCAGGCCCCAACAACCGGCTCATCCTGGTCAGGAGTTCTAGCTGTTCGCATTAGGGTTTAGGCTCTGGGGTTTAGGGTTTTTCTGAGAAAAAACCTAAATCGTATGTGTTAACCATGGACCTCAGATTCTGAGCAAGTCACATGTTCCCCTCGATCCTGAACCCTAATAACTCAAAGCCTTCAAATTTCGATTCCCGGTTCTTGAAGCTACACAGGCTTACATCAGCCGCAACCCTAAACCCTAAACCCCAAAACCCAGCACCTAAACCCTCAGCCCTAAGCCATAAACCCCAAGCCCTAAACCAACCAGCGTCTCAACCCCGCAGCTTCCATTCCAACGCCCCGACTCTGAAACAGGTAGGATATTCGTATGAGCGCGAGCAGTCACTTATATTTCTCCTTATGATTTTTCTCCCTGAGCACTGAGCCCTGAACTCGAAACTCTAAACTGTAAACCGCCCATCCCAAACCCTTTACCCCAAAACCCTAAACCCGAAACCCTAAACCCTAGACCCGCAATGCAGCCAAGGCTTCAGGGCGTCCGCAGCCCAGCCGACTGGTTTGCGACCTGGGTCTGTACAAGGCAGAGGTGGAATCACTGGTAACACCTAGTATGTCATAGGCCACCACATATAGCTCCTCTTCTGGTTTAGTGGCTTGGGGGTCAACGCCGAAGCTCGAAACCCTCCAAGCCTTCATCTAAGCCTGAATTCGGAGCCAAAAACCCACCAAATCCCCCGAAGCCTAAAGCGACCGAACCATAGATCCTAGGGTTTGGTGTTTAGGGGCTCCTACAGGGCCGTGACCATGGCCATCTGGGAGCAATTGTGTCTGAAATGCTTGAATCAACAAAACATATGACGGTTTGGTTTCAAACATGTGTCGTCGTTTCGCGTTGCAGGCCCCTGGTGCTGTTTATAGGATCCTTAAGGGAGGGTGGCTCAAGGGGGGAGCTAAGGGAGTACTCGGCAGAACTGGAGATTACTGGGTTATATAACCCCCTTAGAACCCCCTCCCTTAAGCATTCCATAACTGTTGTTGCCTTGCAAATCAGCTTGCGCAGCAGCATGCAGTCGCGATCATCGAAGAACGTGGGAGTGGCAGCCGAGCCACAGCATCGCTGGAGCCCTAAACCCTAAACGCTAGACTCTAGACCCTAGACCCTAAACCCTAAACCCTAATCCCTAAACCTTAAACCCTAACCCCTATTTTGCAGAGCCAACTTTGCCTCACTTTCTTCTGAGCGCGGCGCCGAGAAGGAGATCCCTGATTCAGTTTCTCAGGCCGGAAGTCAATGCTCGAAGCACGTACTTGCGGTTTAGGGTTCAGGGTTTAGGGTTTAGGGTTTAGGGTTTAGGGTTTAGGGTTCAGGGTCTGGGAGGTAGGGTCTGGGATTTCGGGTTCAGGGTTTAGGGTCTGGGTGTTAGGGTTTAGGGTTTCGGGTTTTTCGGGTTTAGGGGAATCTGGTGCTTTGCACGGCCTGAGCATTGAGGATCTACCTAGTGGAGCCTAGCTGCCCCTTAGATTGAGCCCTCTAAGCCCTAACCCAAACCCTAAACCCTAAACCCTAAACCTTAAACCCTAAACCTCAAGCCTTAAACACTAAACCCTAAACCTCAAACCTTAAACCCTTAAACCTAAATTTTAAACCTCAATCCTTAAACCCTAAACCCTAAACCCTAAACCTCAAACCCTAAACCCTAAATCCTAAACCCTAAATCGACCCCAGGGCGAGGCGTCCTGGCTCAAAGCGGTGAGTCACAGCTTGAGGGAACCCATGCGCTCGCGACCAGCTCCGAGGGGTTTAGGGTTTAGGGTTTAGGGTTTAGGGTTTAGGGTTGAAGAAGGGCATGGGGAGTGTATGTGGGCAGTTCTCTAGATTGGGGTCCCTTTTAGGGGGCTGTAGGAATCTAATGTGTAGGGTTTAGGGTTTCAGGGAGTTAAAGGGTTTAGGGTTTTAGGGTTTTAGGGCTTCAGGGCTTTACAGGGTTTAGGGTTTAGGATAGGACTTGTAGGAGTAAGGGAATTTTGGGCTTCAAGGTTTTGGGATGCTACGGTTACGGATGTAGCGTCTGTATATTTGGTTTAGAGCTTCAGAGCTGTACCGTTTTTGGGGGCCTTAAACACTCCTGTTGGTATATCGGTTCGTACTGTGCCGTACTACATCTAGGGTTCAGGGTTTAGGGTTTGGCCCGATGCAGCAACGACGGTAGGCTCATAAGTGCACACTTGGGTACTGTGCGATTATTAGCCTTGGGGCTCGGATAAACCGGTTGAGGGTTTAGATTTGCATCCAAACCTTTAGGGTTTAGGGTTTAAGGTTTAGGGTTTAGGGTTTAGGGTTTTTTTAACCCAAAACCCCGAACCTTAAGCCGCAAAACTTTCAAGCCCTTAAGGCCCTCACCCGAAACCCTAGACTCCAGTCCCAAACCGTG